TTCTAATTAGAGTTTATTTTCGACCCACATGTTTAAAATTACAACATCGAATTAATCACAACCCGTAAGGTGTAAAAGACATATTTATCACTTAATAAACTTGGCCTAAATACAAATATCATTATGATCCATACATCTAACCCGTAAAATTTGCAATCGAATGTGAAGCCCACATATGAAATTATTCCGACATTCTCCCACTTGAGCAAATATTTGATTGTTATAACAAAGTTTTAACACTAAGGTTAGACTACATAGGTGGCCACAAAAAGTATAGCTCAAATGATGACACCTTACGTAACATCATCCGGTCCAACAAGAATATTAACACCGAACATGGAAGTCATTACACCAATTAAACGATGTAAGATCATTCCACAGCTACAAATGCTAACATCCTTATCGACATGGATCCCCACCCTCCAACCATTGTGGTAGTATATGGTATGAACTTAGCACTAAATGTGATAAAAAACTGTGATAATTCATATTGATCCTCATAATGCTTCTGATCAAAATGAAGCTACATGTCTCTAAAAGAGATTCATCTTATGTCATTATCTGTCATATCTCGATATCACAATAATATTATAAAAAGACATAAGTCAAACACATGCTCAAAATCATTCATGGATATAGGAAAATATTTTATTATCAGAAGGGGCTGTATCCGAAAACATATGAGTTGTCTACGTACCCCACTAAGAGATCAAGCCCAAAACATAATTCATAATTAACTCCCACTAACCAAAAACATAAAATGTTTCCACAATGCCCATATTAACAACATGTATCTTAAAGACTTTTGGAGTGAGTTCCTTAGTCAAAGGGTCTGCAATCATTGCCTCTGTATTGATATGCTCTATTTTCGTCTATCCTTCCTTGACTTTGTTTCTAACCACCAAATATTTGATGTCAATATACTTTGACTCACCAGAACTTTTATTATTCTTTGAAAAGAATACTGTTGCACTTTTATTACAGTAGATGATGATCGGTCTTGAGATTGAATCAACAACTTTCAAACTAGAGATAAAATTTCTTAACTAAATGGCTTGGACTGTAACCCCATAACATGCTACAAATTCAGTTTGCGTAGTAGAAGATGCCACTAGAGTCTGTTTAGCACTTTTCCAAGAGATAGCACTACCAGCTAACGTGAAAATATAACTCGAGGTTAATTTCAAATCATCTTGACAACCAGCAAAATCAAATTCTAAATAGCCTACCACCTCAAGATGATTTGAACGCTGAAATATAAGCATATAACCTTCAGTTTTCATTAAGTATCTCATAAGATTCTTAATTGCTTTCTAATGCTCTTATCCTGAATTTGACTGAAATCTACTAATGACACTGACTGCGTAGGCTATATATGGTCTAGTGCAAATTTGAGCATACAACAAGCTCCCCATAGCACTAGCATACAATATCGTCTTCATAGATTCTCTTTCTAGCTCATTTCTTGGACATTGAATTTTGTTAAATTTATCTCCTTTTATGATAAGTACATCACCAGCCGCACAGTTCTGCATATTAAATATTTTTAGAACACGTCGTATATAAGCTTTCTGAGAAAACCCCAATAAGCCATGATTCCTATCATGATGTATTTCAATACCAAGTACATAGGAAGCTTCTTCAAGATCCTTCATCTCAAAATTAGCAGACAACACTTTCTTTGTCTCAAGAAGCAATCCTAAGTTACTGCTAGCAAGTAAAATATCATCAACATACAGGACAAGAAAAATAAAATTTCTCTCACTAATTTTGAGATAAATGCATTGATTAACTGTATTTTCGACAAAACCAAGAGAGTTTATAATCTTGTCAAACATTAAATACCACTGTCAAGATGTTGCTTGAGGCCATATAAGGATTTGTTTAACTTACATACCAAGTTTTTTTCCTTTCCCAAATAAAAAAAAGCATGATATTTTTAACTAATAAAGAAAATCGTAAGCATATAACAATAGCAAATGTTGAAGCAGAACTAACTTCTGCATGAAATGAATTGGCAACTTGAAGTAACTTCTACATGAAATGCATAGGCAAATTGAAGTAACAGAACTCCAAGCATGTTTGGCTAAAGCCTAAAAAAGAGTAAAAGTGCTTGTTCAAAAAGTAGGAAATTGCTTGCGTTCAAAGAAGAAAATATTTGAACTAAAGTTAATTCTACTGCATATTTGGCAACATGTATGGCAAATAAAATGTTATTTTCAGTTTTGACATATATTTGGCTAAGCTTAAAAGTTACTAATAAATACTCCCACTTTTTAAAGGCTTAGCCAAAAATGTCTTAATATAAATCCTTATGTAACGGCTAAATAGTACCTTGGATATGTAGGAACACTTGCCCACGCATAGTGGACGGAACCTTTGCATGTTTCACGGCATATAAAAATCATGTCCTGAATCAGATGTGTATGGAACCACATACTCTCTGCCATGTTACGTGGTACACCACCAGGCCTTAATGCTCTAGCCGTGGTCTCAAAGAATGGTCGCTCCACGAGCTCCTGAGCAGGACCTAGGTTGAGAACCAAAAAAAAAAGAAAAAAAGAATGAGATCCTGGGATAAACACATTTGATATGAGGGTGACCTACGATGGAAAATGACTAATAAATAGGAATCAAATGTGTTGTTGGGGACTTCATTTGGGAAATGAATCTCAGGTTGCAAGGGAAAATGCTTTCACATTCACTCACCATTGAACAACATCCACAGAGATGATGTAAGACATAAATAAACCAATGGAGTATAAAGAAGAAAAGGTAAAGTTTAAATTCTTGTCATAATTACTAATTTTAATTAACCAAAAACTGCATACAACCAGTATATGAAAGAAAGAAAAAAAACTCGTCTAACTCAATCACTCGTTCACTTAAAAACAGAAATCACCTAGACAAAATTAGAACAACAATGGAGAGATGATGTAATGAAGCCCTGAAGAGACTTGTTAACGAATAAATTTTACCGCCAACACATACATACAGGGTCTGATGAGTCAATTATAATTGCATCATATTTCCCCTCAGGCACATGCCTTAGAAATTCAGCTACTGTCAAAATCAAGAAACCAATATTATGCCAAAATGTGACGTAGTACTTGAAAATGAATGGATAAACATAATTTTTTTGTAGAGTAGAATCAAGGCCGGTCCTGATAATTTTGAGGCTCTAGGCGATTATTTATTATGAGGCCCTTATGTATAATTTTTTTTGTAAGCGTAACAACATTAAATGTTTAAATGAATATCATATAAGTAGGATTTTTTTCCCTCGAGGCCCCCAACTTTGGAGTCCCAATAGGAGACCCTAGGCCATTGCCTTAGTTGCTATGCTCCAAGGCCGGCTTTGAGTAGAACGGAATCTTTTTTGTATTCGATGGCGTTGCATGATATGGTAAGCCCCACTGAGGTCAAATAAAAACAAAATCTCTCTTACGTGTCAAGGGCGGGTGGAAGAAATAAAAAGGGAAAGAACGTATAGATGAATCATTAAAATTAGGGGTCCATATTTTTTCAATTCTCGACCATGAAGAGATGTTGAGAGGTTTTCAGCATACCATCACCAACATGAAGTCGCACACGAGGATCCTCAAAACCAATAGCTAACTCTGGAAAAAAAATTCTTACTTACCTATAATACAACAAATTATAGACAGTTATCNCACGAGGATCCTCAAAACCAATAGCTAACTCTGGAAAAAAAATTCTTACTTACCTATAATACAACAAATTATAGACAGTTATCTAATGAACCAACAAAAATCTGGCCACTGACAGTATTTCTTTGATAAAATCCAATTACTCGCATCTATAACCATCTGATCTATCTCACAAATATTGAACAGCTCTACAGAACTATGACTAGATATTTCCCTAAGGACTCCACCATCAGCACCACCTACAACCAGAACCTGTACTCGCATAATCAACAGGAGCGTAAAAACCAATGGTGCCAAAATAAGGCGGAAAAGATATATAGCAATATTATGCGGACAACCAGTTGCACTTCTACTTGATAAGCTTGTAACTTAAGGAAACCCCTTTATTCACTTTAAATTGTGGTTATCCCAAAATTAGTAGAGGGAATCTCTAGGATGCTAGTTTTGAACCACCTCATCTAAAGGTAGTTGTTAAAGAGGGTTTGCATTTATTATTTATTCAAAATTTGTCTTAAAGACGCCTCTTCACATAGACTAGAATTATTTTATTTTTATTTTTATTTTTTCACCTAAAGGCCTTATACGTCCACAATTTTTATAAATGGACAGTGACAAGATTTGAACCCAAATTTTTGCCAATTCTGATGCCATGTTAAATCTATCTCGTCCAAACGTTTAAACTCTTAGAGAGGGCAAACATTTATTTAAAGTTTGTCTTCAATAGCTAGCATCAGAGGTCATGGAGAAGAGAAATTCCAATAGGTGTTAAAACATGATTCGAGCTGATACTCCTATGATGTCTAAAACTATAAATAGATGAGCATAAGTGCTGTGGTATTACTTTAATCACCAAAATGATGTGTTCAAAGAACGAGGAGAAACCAGCAATTCTTTAGTGATTCAATTGAACACAGCAGGAGAGGAGCAATCATCTCCTGATTGGCACACTCATCTTTCTCAGTCAATTTAACAATGCCATCGAGCACAAGCACTCTTCCATATGTTGAGGACTGCAAGGAAGGTATAGAATCCATTAATGCACAGAAGAAGACTAGAAATGATACAGAACAACAAGTGCAGTGTAAATAAACAGTTGAGCTATCTGCAGTTAAGATGCTGAACCTCGAAAACCAGAACCTCCTGGTACTCTGACTTTTCTTTGAAAAGAATTTTTTCAACTCCCAGGGAATGAGCTTCTCCAACAAGCGTCTCGTGATGATTAA